AGAATCCACATATGGATGAATGAAGAAAGAAAGTGTGTTAAGCATCTACAATGGAATATTAGAGTTAAAAAAGAAAGTTTAAAAATCCCATCACATGCTACATGTTGAGCCCTGAGGTCATTATGCTAAGTGAAATATGCTAGCAACAAGAACACAAATGCATGATGCCACTTAAATAAGATACCTAGAGCTGTCGAATCATGGAGGCAGACAATACAATGGTCCTAACAAGGCCCTGGAAGGAGGAGAAAACTGAGAAATACTGTCCAATGGGTACAGAGATTCAGTATGACAAGATGAAAGGATACTGGAGATTTCTTGCACAACACTGTCAATGTACTCCACACTGTTAAAGTATGTAATAAAAATGGTTAAGATGGTGAACTTTATTATGTGAACTTTCATAGGTTGTTTTAAATCTCCATATTGAAGAGATGAGAAATCAGGGTAAAGGATCTATTGGATGGCTTGTGGTGAAAGTGATTAAATAGATAAAATGTTGGGGAAAGAGAGAGAACGTGGACAGGGAACAAAAGAAACAGCTTTGGCCAGCCACAGTAGCATAACAGTGATGCAATGGTCCCTGGTGCTGAGACTACAGGGAAGTCCTGGGTTCACATCATGAGGTCTTCCTGTACATACCAGGTACATACAAGTGCCAGTGATAATGGCTGACTGAGGCTACATGTGAATCGGCTGTGAAAACCCTGCTGCAAGTGCTTCTTCTCACTCTTTAATTCATTCCTTAAGGGATAAATAAATGAACAAACTTTAAAAAACAAAAACTCACCAGCGCTTCGTAAACCATAATGCCAGGAATAACAAAATAACCAAGCAGGTCACCGTTATTGCCAAAAAGATCAAGCCAATGGAGATGGGATATCCTGAAAATTAGGACAGGACAAAAATGTGTTACTTCAACTTCTGTACACTGAATCTTGTGGTCTTTCTTTACCCATCTAAGTATCAACACCACCATTCACCTGCTTACAAAGTTGGCTAGCTCTGGAGGGGACAGAGAGAAAAAGAGAATAAGTATGGAAAGGATAGCAGAGAGGAAGAGATCATAACCTAGAAATTAAAGGGATTCAAGGGAAGGATAATTTGCTAGATAATCACATGGGAGACTGGAATTCAGAGGAAGGGTAAGGTAAATTGGTGGGCAGGAAATTTGAAGATAAAAAAAAGTACTGTGAATATCCATTTTGTAAGACAAACAATAATGTGATTGAATGTATGGAAAAAAATGAAATGAAAAAAATTTTTTTCAAATAAAAGAAAAAAAATACTGTGAAATAATTAACTGGGAAGGGCAGAAAAGAAGACTCTCAGACACAGGAGATTTTTCTGGAAGGACTTCGTGGGATAGTTAGGAATAGGCAGGGCCATGTCAACATTCAGGCCAAGAAGAAAGGAACCAGGATCTGATTGGGAAAGTCCAAGTCTGAGACTGGGAACAATAGGCAGAAGCTAACTTCTCCCGATGGATAGTTTCAAAAAGATTATGTATTCCAGCTCTTTTCCTTCCAAATCTAAAAATCCAGTTCTAAAGATGAATGGCATGTTCTCCCTAAAGTCTTATTTTTTAAGTCTACTTATTATTTATTTATTCAATTGGAGAGACAAATAGAGACAAACCTCCCCACAGGTCTCCATGCTGTGATCTCTCCTGCAGCCTGTGTCAGTCTCATGTGCTCACATTCAGTGTGTACAAGTTTACATGGGACTTGAACTCTGACCTTCCAGGTAGATAGAGCATTGCAGAGTGTCATGCTATGCTACTGAGTGCCACTGCAGCTGACCCAAAGTCTCATTCTTTTCAGAAGGTATCTCCCTCTGGATAATACTTCCATTCATGTGAACTTGTGAACCCGAGGTTGCCCCCCATCCCACGGTGAGGGGATTAAAAGGATTCTCGCTGGCTTTGGTAACGCGCATTGCTCTGATCATTGCCGTACCTTTTGTTGCATTTTGCCTTCAGATTCCCTGAAGCCAGACATTATTACTTCTACAAGTGAACTCACTAACCAATCCCTTTAGCTCCCACTTCTTGAAAACCCAGCTGCAAGTTCCTCCACCCCTCTTTCCAAGCCCTCAGTTGTTGTCTGTCACGTACCATCATAGTCATGGCTATTGACATGAACCGGGTTTGAACACGCCAAAGCAGCGCAGTGTGCTCTGAGGACCTCAAAGTGCTGAATCTAACTGGAGATGCCTGTCTTTCTCCCCACCCCATCCCCACCCCACCCCCCCCTTTTTTTTTTTTTTTTGTAAACAAGGAAGTTTTAAGTTATGCTAACTGTATTTAAGAGTAGTAATTATCTTAACTTTATTTCTTGATTTTTCCATAGACAGAGAATAAAGTTAGGGAGAAAAAGAAGAAGAAAGAGGAACTAAAGAAAAAGAAAAGGAGAAAGAAAAAGAAAGAGATACAGGTACTTCCAACCGTCTTCATGCTTAAGTACATCTTCAGCCCCAGCCAGAGAGGGTCACAGATGAGCTTGCTCGGGGAGGCCTAAACTCAGGTGGGGCCGGTTGTGTTACTGTTGTACCACAGCCTGGTCCCCAGTGCACTGCTTTCTAATCAAACTGCCTCCATAATGAAACAGTTCTATTCTCTGACGTCCCATACAGTATTTAATGAAATTCAACTTAAATTCAAAAATTGAGGACTTACCATTTAAACTGAAAACGGTAACTTTCATTTTTTACTCATGTCCACCTGTGTTCTATAATTGACATATGTTCAACTCACACACATTAGCCTGATCATCCCCTCAGAAGTGAATTCCGAAGACAAGCATGCTCAACCAATCTGAAATTTCTGACACACTGGTGTGGTGACTGTAGTGTTTCATTTGTCCTTCATCCACAGTCAGTACAGTGAGATTGTACTCTCTGTGACTAAAGATTGTTGTTTCATCATTCCTTGCATTATTAGTGAGGTACACTAGAAGATGGAGTGATCATTGCATAAGGCAAGTTTTTTTTTTTTATTAGCTTGAATGTCACTTCTCTAATCATCTCCAGCCAGGATAGTTGTTACAACTCAATCTGGTGCACAAAGACTCCCAGTGATAAAATATGAATACTTGGATAACTGAATTTCAGCCTTTCTATTTTCTTTTTTAATGTTTTCCAGAGGTCATGGGCACTTGCCAAAGAGAAACAGAAAGAGAGAGAAACAGGGGAAAGTGAGAAATCATCCTCCATGAGGAATGCTCATGCAACAATCCCTTCTCCATTTCTCCCTCATTTGGGGATTTGGGGACCACACACACATGCATCCAGCATGCCACCAGCTCTAGAACTCAAACTGTCTTGTCAGGATCTAGCAGCCTTAATAACAAAACCACAGATTGGGCTCAGCCTTTATATTTTTAATTCCAGCTAATTCAACGCACTGTTTATATATTTCTAATTTAAATTGTTTTCGCTACTTCTCTCCCTCCACTTCTCTCCCTCCAAGATTTTATTTATTTGAGTTGCATCTAGTTTATGTTAGACTATGTACCCTCAGAGTGTTATTTCATGTGGCATCCACCTGTGTAGATCATCTTTTTTTTTTAATTCCATTTATTTCATCTGTGATACAGACAGAGATGCAGGCATCCCCCAACAAGATCTTCATGATATTCTCTACCCGCAGCCTCAGCTGGACTGGGTCTGACAAGCACATGTCTGTGTTTCTGGTATTCTCAGGGAGGTCCCAGGATATGAACCCAGAGCCTCTATAAGGTAAGTCCAATGTAAGACATTACAATGTCTGTAAATGTAAGTCCAATTGCACTAATTCTGGCCAGCACCTAGCCCCATATTGTAGATATTTTATCAGTTAATATACTTTAGAAATTCCTGAAGTTTTACTTTACTAAGACTTTTACTTCATAACAGTTTTAGATTTAAAGAAAATATATAAGGATAGAATAACAAGTTTCCATACATTTCAGCCAGTTTCCCCATATTTAACATTTTATGTTACTATCGTAAATTTGTCAAAACTATAAAATTAATATTATGTTAACATTAACTAAAATACATATTTAATCTTATTCACCATTTTTTCACTAATTGTTTTCTGTTCAAAGTTTCAATTCAAGTCACCACGCTATCGTTAGTTATTATGTCTCTTTAGTCTTCTTGAATCTGTGACAGTTCTCTGACTTTACTTATTTTCAGACCTTGATAACTTTGAAGTGTACTAGTCAGTATTAAAAAATCAAGCTAGGGGACCAGCAGTTAGCATAATGGCTATTTGCTGGACTCCCATGTAGTTGACTACGGTTCAAGTCCCAGACCCGTGGCTTAAACTCACGCCAGGCGAGTGTGCGTGCGTGCCCAAGATCTTGAGAGGAGAATGGAGGAGAAGGGGCTGTGGCGTGGCCATCCACTCTGGAGGTGATTTCTTGTTTTCTGTCTCTCTCTCTCTGTCTTCCTGGTGAGCGCATGTGCCCTATAGCAAAAACCTCTCAAAAAAAAAAAAAAAGAATCAAGCTAAAGAGACCAGCAGGTGGTGTGGTGGTGGTTAAGGCACTGGACTCCCACGTGACTGTGTTTCAAGTCCCACACCTGGTGGCTTGCATTCTCACTTTCCCTCTATCTTTCTCTGTTTCTAGTAAAATTAAAAAATAATAATAAAGAATTTAAAAATTAATAAATTGTCCTTTAAAAAAAAAGCTAATAAATGGGAAAAATGATTAGTTATAAATAACCCGAAAGCAAACAGAAACCTGGGAAGAGAGAAAAATATAAGCAGGACAGGGAAAAAGGAGAAGTATAACATGGAATATGACAAGTTCAAACCCAAGTATATTAACTGAATTATGATTTTATTGTAATGCAAAAAATTTGAAATCCATGCATAGCTTTTTTCAATAATACACATTTTCCATGAACTTTTGAAAAACCTATCAAAAGATAAGGTTGAATCCTGGCCAACAACCTGGGATTTTGAGCTTCTTGGTACTTATTCAAACTGGAAGAGGAGATGTGATAAAAGCTTATGGAATATCTTGATATGACCTGTTAAGAAAATAAGCAAACAAATAGCTTTATATAAGAAATGTATTTATGCTCACATTTACAGCAACACTATTCACAGTAACCAAAAGTGAGAGCAACACAAGTATCCATATGTGAATAAATGAATAAACAAAATGTGTTTTATATGTATGACGGACTATTAGATTTGAAAAAGAAAGTTCAAAAACCCTATCACATGCTACAACATAATGACCCCTGAGGTCATTTACGCTAAGTGAAATAAGTCAGTCATGAAAACACAAATGTACTGAGTTGTTGGAAAAGTCATGATGCATTTTTTCTGTTTTCAAAGGTCATTTATTTATATTAAAACAAATATCAATCAAAGATATAGTGCCCATTTTGTTCAATAACCATTCACATCTTTCAGTGAGCTTCATAATTCCTTGTTCATAGAAGCACCTGTTTTATCAGCAAAATAAATGAACAAGGTGCTGATTTACACCTCATCTGAATTGAACATTATACCATGTAAGGAGTTTTGGAGAGTGTGGTGGGTGAGGCAACACATTCCAACCAAACTCCAGTAACTTTTGATGGGTGTTCAAACTTGCATGTGGTCTCTTGTTGTCATGATGGAACCCAACTCCTTTATGATCAATAAGCTCTGAAAGTTTCTGGATGATGAATTCATTCAAACTGTCCAACTGGCAACAGTATACATTAAAATTGATTGTTTGGTTCCTTGGTAGGAGCTCAAAAAACACGACACCTTTAAAATCCCACCACGTTGACAGCATAACCTCCGTCTGATGCATTTCTCCTTTCGATGATTGAGGCAAATCATCATGTCAGGACCAAGACCATTATGTGCCGCATCATCGTTAACCATCTATTTCTCATCATCATTTCTTAGTCACTTCAAAAAGGATCATTTTCCTCACATTTAATGAACATTTCATAGATGTTTATATGTGCCATCAAATGACCTTTGAGTTCATGAAGAACCCAAATATCAAGCCTGCTTTACATAACCCAGCTTCTTTAGGTGGTCATGAATGCTTGAATGATGGATGTTCCATATTTCTACAATCTCTCGTGTCATGGAGGGACTCAAGCAATGTATTTTATCGTCATCAACCTCGGTGGGCCTCCCTGTCCTAGGAGCATTGGTGAGATCAAAATCACCACCAGCATGGAAATTTATGAACCATCACTGCCACTAACATTCTTGCAGAGCATTGTCACCATGGACTGTATGCAACTTCCACAAGCTTGACATGAGTTCTTCCCTTTATGGAAGTAAAACAGTAAAATATGGCAAAAATGCACACTTTGGTCTTTCATCTATAATTTGTAAAATCTCCAAAACTCAAACAAATCACTTGATATTTTTTTAAATGAAGCTATCAGTGTCAGTTGTCAGATGACATAGCAATAACATAGATGCAAATGACTAGTACTTCCATAAATTAACTAGCGCTATCTGTTGCAAAAATGCATCATGACTTTTCTGAAAACCCAACAGGATTCTACTTATGTGAGTTACCAAGAGTTGTCAAATTCATGGAGGACAGTAGAGCGGTCCTATCCAGGGGCTGGAAGGAGGGAGAAATGGAGAGATACTGTCCCATAGGTATAGAGTTTCGGTTTTGCAAGATGAAAGAATACTGGAGAGTGCTTGCCCAACAGCGTTAATGTACTCAGCACTATTGAGGTGTATATTAGAAATGGTTAAGATGGATGGGACTAGCAGTTAGCGTAATAGCTATGTCGCTGGACTCCCACGTAGTCAACTGTGGTTCGCGTCCCGGAACCAGTGGCTTAAAACTCACGCTGGACGCGTGTGCATGCGTGCCCAAGATCCCAAGAGGATAATGGAGGAGAAGAGATTGCAGCATGGCCATCCCCCTGGGGGGTAATTTCTCGCTTTCTATCTCTCTGTCTCTGTCTGGCGAGTACACGTGCCCTATAGCAAAAACTTCTCCAAAAAAAAAAAAAGAAATGGTTAACATGGTAAACTTTATTGTGTGAACTTTCATAGAAGTTTTTCTTAATATCCATATAAAGGAGATGGGAATTGAGGGGAAAAGTTCTGGGGGAAGGATTGAGGCTATGTTGTTAAACAGATAAATGTGCACAGGAAAGACAAAGGGTTTAAAGGGGGAAATAACCGTGCCTGCTACATGAGCAGAACAGTGACTGGGTCCCTGGTGCTGAGACTACATGACTGGGAAGGTTCTGGCTTCTGGTTCTGAGGTCTCCCTGTACATGCCAGGGACATTTACATGTCCTGTGATGGCTGACTAATGCTAAGTGTTATTAGGCATAGACCCTGCTGAGGGTGCTTCCCTTTCTCACTCTCTCCCTCAAGGAATAAATAAACTTAAAAAGGAAAAAAAGAAAAAGAAAAACTCACCGACGCTTCATAAACCATAATGCCAGGAATAGCAAAATGACCAAGCAGGTCACTATTATTGCCAAAAAGATCATGCCAGTAGAGATGGGGTGTCCTGACAATTAGGACAGAACAAAAGCGTGTCACTTCAAATCCTGTACACTGAATCCTGTGGCCTTTCTTTGCCCACCCGAATATCAGCACCACCATTCACCTGTTTACAAAGCAAGTCCAGCTCCAGCTCCTTCTCTCATATTCTGGGTAACAATATACTCATTTCTTCATCTCTCTTGCCCCAACCCATACAATGTACACTTACTTCATCCTCACCCCTTCTATGTCTTGGGTTATTAACTTTTATTCCTGTTGGAATTGGCTGGGATCCCACAAACATATTTAACTATTCCTTTAACTCTTCCATCAGTCAAGCCCCATGCTTCCCCAGAACCTCCCTCTGTATGTGAGGACCACCCACTCCCATTTCCTTCCTCACCCCAGTACAGGATGATGTCCTGGCCTCCTAGGCTGCTGTGCTTCACTCGACAAGACAGGCCAGCCTCCTCCCCAGCTGCTACGTCCAGGGTGACTCGGAGATACCACGTCCAGTCAGCATTGGGCAGGACGTCACCTTGCTGAGTGCCCGGCTGCTCCTGCTCCCCCCGCATCCACATCACCCACCTGGGCTTGGGGTAGAATCCTGAGACGTGGCACACCAGCAGCAGACGGCCAGGACCCGGACTGGGGCCACTGGACAGCCAGACCTGGGGCTTCACTGAGACAGGAAGGGGCAGGGAGAGTGTCACAGTGAGACTCTAGTCCAGAGTACTGGCACTCAAATACCCACAAGCGGACAGTGACCTCTCCCACTCTTTTGAGACCAAATGTTAATTTAACCCCTTTCCTTCTTGAGTACTGCCCTACTCTTAAGCTTAGAGAACATGATGGAAGTGAAAGAGAGAGCAGCACTAACCTTGTTTCTGCAGATCCGCCTTCCCTGCCTCAAGGACTCCCAAGAGATACTGGGGGCATATTTCAAAGAGGAGATTTTGCACTATTTCGATGATGCCCTGATATTGCATAAGCAGTGTGCACACTCGCTGCGCTATCTCGCCACCTTCTGGGGAAGGCACGCATGTATCATTCTTGAGGCTCAGGAAATCCAGTCCTCCTAAAGCTCCCCTCAAGAAGCTTTCTGTGGTACCTCCAGTACGTAGCTCACAGCCTGCTCTGCCCTGGATCTCGAAAGGGTCTTGGTAGAAGGAAAACAGAACAATTAGTACACATAAGCAAAAAAGGGGAGTGGAGTGAGTCAAGAACCTAGAATTTTGGATTTGGGTGTGAAATAATGAGTCAAAAACTAATTAAAGTACTTACACATTTTTAGGAAAAAGATCACTGGGGAGGGGTAAGCATGAAAATGGAGGAAGGGGCATGGCAGGTAAACGAGAAGAGGAGAGGCAGAGTGGTGAAGTCTGAAGGGCAGCATTCCATAGTGAACAAAGGGCCTCACTGAGAGGAGGCCTCAGAGAGGAGACAACTGAAGGGATGGATGAAAAGAGGAAGCCACACTTTATAGCTCTCAGCACAAGGACGGAGAAGAGGCCTGAAAGCCAAGTTTGACAGTAGTCCTGCCAGGGGTTCATTCCAAAAGGGGAAACTTAATCTCACAGAGAAGAGTGCAAAAGCATCAAGCATCAGGAATACTTTGTGAAGGTGAGAGTCAGAGAGAGAGATGACCCTAGTAAAGTGAGGAGAAAGAGAGAAGGCTCAGAGGGATCAGCAGCTTGCAAAAACAGAGATAAAGTCATGGAGCATATTCCCAGTTCAGGGGACTGAACTCACACTTCAGCTGCAATTCACTTGTACGCTTTTGGATCTCTTGAATGAATCCAAAGAGGTAACCCGGACTGGGGCCACTGGACAGCCAGACCTGGGGCTTCACTGAGACAGGAAGGGGCAGGGAGAGTGTCACAGTGAGACTCTAGTCCAGAGTACTGGCACTCAAATACCCACAAGCGGACAGTGACCTCTCCCACTCTTTTGAGACCAAATGTTAATTTAACCCCTTTCCTTCTTGAGTACTGCCCTACTCTTAAGCTTAGAGAACATGATGGAAGTGAAAGAGAGAGCAGCACTAACCTTGTTTCTGCAGATCCGCCTTCCCTGCCTCAAGGACTCCCAAGAGATACTGGGGGCATATTTCAAAGAGGAGATTTTGCACTATTTCGATGATGCCCTGATATTGCATAAGCAGTGTGCACACTCGCTGCGCTATCTCGCCACCTTCTGGGGAAGGCACGCATGTATCATTCTTGAGGCTCAGGAAATCCAGTCCTCCTAAAGCTCCCCTCAAGAAGCTTTCTGTGGTACCTCCAGTACGTAGCTCACAGCCTGCTCTGCCCTGGATCTCGAAAGGGTCTTGGTAGAAGGAAAACAGAACAATTAGTACACATAAGCAAAAAAGGGGAGTGGAGTGAGTCAAGAACCTAGAATTTTGGATTTGGGTGTGAAATAATGAGTCAAAAACTAATTAAAGTACTTACACATTTTTAGGAAAAAGATCACTGGGGAGGGGTAAGCATGAAAATGGAGGAAGGGGCATGGCAGGTAAACGAGAAGAGGAGAGGCAGAGTGGTGAAGTCTGAAGGGCAGCATTCCATAGTGAACAAAGGGCCTCACTGAGAGGAGGCCTCAGAGAGGAGACAACTGAAGGGATGGATGAAAAGAGGAAGCCACACTTTATAGCTCTCAGCACAAGGACGGAGAAGAGGCCTGAAAGCCAAGTTTGACAGTAGTCCTGCCAGGGGTTCATTCCAAAAGGGGAAACTTAATCTCACAGAGAAGAGTGCAAAAGCATCAAGCATCAGGAATACTTTGTGAAGGTGAGAGTCAGAGAGAGAGATGACCCTAGTAAAGTGAGGAGAAAGAGAGAAGGCTCAGAGGGATCAGCAGCTTGCAAAAACAGAGATAAAGTCATGGAGCATATTCCCAGTTCAGGGGACTGAACTCACACTTCAGCTGCAATTCACTTGTACGCTTTTGGATCTCTTGAATGAATCCAAAGAGGTAGACTCGGAATATCTCCACCATTTCAGCCATTTTCTCATCACTGAAGTTGCCCTTGGACCAGGGCTTCAGGAATATGGCTGTGTCTGCGTCTCTGTCCCAGCCATGGATCTGCAGATCACCCAGCCAGCCTGAGCCTTGAATTTGTGCCCAGGTGCTGTTGACAAATGAGGCAATTTGGATGACACTGTAAGAGGTAGGGTCCTGGAAGGCTGTGAAGAGTAGAAAGATAAAATAATGAAGAGAAAGAGAGAACTGGGAATGAATGCAAAAGAATGGAAATTTAAAAGTTCCAGAGGACAAGAACCTAGAGATTGAGAACATATGAAGCCTGACATAGTCCATGGCTCCAACCCTATCCTTCAGACCTGTGGTGCCCAAGTAAACCTGCATAAGCATAGCTTGCGTCTATCCAGACCCCCTGCACCAGCTAGAAGCTGCCAGAATTACTCTTACCATCCACACTGTCACCACCTGGCAAGACAACTAACAAGAGAAGCAGCTGAAGTAGCATTTCACTGCGAGATGGAACTTCTGTCTCAGAGACGGTGTTAGATCTCTGATTTCTGGTCTCAGTACTCTATAGTGACTTCCTCTCTCTTCCAACTGACAATTTTCTTTGTCATCCAAATTACATTTCAGAAAAAAAAAAAAATAGTGCCTCCCAAAGACTTGAGCCTCCTACTTTGCCTCTGATTCCCCTTCAGCCCTGACTTCTAGACTTTCTCTTACCTCCTTGGCTTCCAGCTGACCTTTGTCTTCAGTTTCTTTCACAGCTCCTTGGAAAAGCCCCCTGTGTCATTTTGAAAGGCCAGCTTTGTGCCCTTGAGCCATAATTTCATCTGTGTAAACAAGAGTGACAATAAATAATCACTAAACTTGTTCATCCCTCCAACTCTGACTTCCTCTCCTCACTGCCCTCCCTTTTCCTACACTCTGCCACCCCCCCCTTCTCAGTGTTATTAGTGTCTCTTCTTTCTATGTTTTTAAATAAAATTTTGCTACAGGGCATATGCATTTGCCAGAGAGACAGAAAGCAAGAAATCTGCCCCCAGGAGATTTCTTCACCACAATCCCTTCTCCATTCTCCTTTGGTGCACATGCACTTAATGTGAGTTTTAAGCCACTGGGTCTGGGACTTGAACTGTGGTCGACTACATGGGAGTCCAGCAACGTAATTATTATACCATCTGCTGGTCCTGAGTGTCTCTTCTTTCTTTTCTTGCTCCCCTTTACTGATGCTCTTAATGCCACATTCTAATTTGTCTGTGTTCGTGTGTGTGTGTGTGTGTTTCTGTGTGTGCATGTGTGCATGCATTGATATTCACTTTGTCAACCTCAAAAAAAAAAAAAGACTGAGGAATTATAAGTGAAATAAAAGTTGTTTTAGCCAGGATATGGGTGAATTTGCCCAACCAGAACAGGTTCTGTTTCCCCATCCATGTGTTCATTGAAAAGGTAACTGAGAAAGCTGTTTATATAACAAAAAGAAGGGCAAGAAGAAGGGAGATTAAAAGTTTTATGTTTTTCTATACAAAAATGTGTCATGACTTTTCTGATGATCCAATAATTTGACATCACTATTTAGCATGACCCCTAGTAATACATAAAGGGATTTCTCCAAAATTTGATAAGGACAAAATCTACTATATGGAGAGAAAAGACAGAATAAAATAACTATGCTCAGTGACTCAAACAAGCAAGAGAAAAAAATACCTAGTCATTTCAAGGGTTAAACACAGCCCCCACTCCCCAAATTTGTAGATGACTCCAGAGTAAAAGGTGAGAAGTGAATTTTAGAGATTAAGTTACAAATAAATGAGGAAACTTTGAAATGTTCATAAAAAAATGGAAAGTACAAGGTTTCATTTGGCATAAAAATTTTGAAATTAATGCATAGCTTTTTCATAATATGCATTTTCCATTAACTTTCTGAAGACTTCTCATGTAAAAGTGAGTTGAAGAGGGCCCAGTAGGTGGCATGGTGGCTAAAACACTGGACATTCCCACATGGCTGACCACAGTTCAACTCCAGGACCTGGTGGCTTGCGTTCTCAATTTCCCTCTCTATCTCTGATCAAATTAAAATAAATGAATGAATAAATTAGATTAAATAATTCTTTTTTAAAAAAGTGAATTGAAGAAGTCATAAATCAAATAAAGCTGACAGAGAACAGAATGTATGCAAAGAAAGGTAACACACTGGTCAAAGACAATTATAGTAGGAAAGCCTAAAATGGTAAACTTGATAAAAATGTTGTCAAATTATATTGTCATAGTAAGATATAAATACAAAAGAATGTTTGCATGGAAAATGTTTTCATTATCACTATTTTCAATTATGATTTCTGGTTTACATAAAAACAATATATATCAATGTATGCTAAAAAAAGTTATTTGTCAAGAGTTTACATTAGTCTATCTAAAATAATGCAGGCAACTTATTGGTTATACCTTACTCTTTACTTCATAATCTTGGATGAGGGCTACATTGTCACCCTCTTACAGCATCAGTTTGTTCTCGTAAACTAAGAGATGTTCTTTGGGTGAGAATGCTGATAGGTGTGGGGACAATCAAGGTCTCTTTTTAAAAAAAAAAAAAAAAAAGAATATTTTTATTTAACTTTATTCATTTATTTTAGTTTGACCAGAGAGGGACAGAGTGAGAGTCTATGAGAGAGCAAGAAAGCAAATCGCCAGGTCCAGGACTCAAACCACGGCTGGCCATGTGGGAGTCCAGTGTCCTCAACCACCACACCACCTGCCAGTCCCATCCAAGGTCTCATTTTTAACTCAGGCCCTTGAAATTTAAATGGATCTCCCATTGTATAAACCCCTCTGAACTGCTTTTCATTCTCACCTTACATGAAGGCAAAGTGTTTAAAACATTGAATAAATTATTATTATTATTATTATTATTATTATTATTATTATTCTATTATAGAGTAGAATTACAGACCCAAGTCCCAGAATCAAATATGATAAATACTAAAGATTATAATCCATACAAAATGATCTTATACCATAGTAATTTCTGAAGGGTAAAACAGCATTTGCTCCTACTATATATCACATTCTCTTCAGGGCCTCTTGACCTTTGTGGACCTTGGAGTAACAAATGTTCATGTGAGAAACAAAACTCTCTAAGCTATGTTATACATGACGTAAGCCTAAGTCAAAGGTAACGTTTTTGGAAAAGGTTCTAGAAGCAGCAAGGCCATGTTCTACTTTTGCAGTGCCTCACAACCCCTATCTACATTTAGGTTTTTCCTCTCAACATAAGGTGTTGCTAGGAGAACAAGGAGCTTATCAATTTTTCAAAGAGTTCAAGAATTTGTTCTAAATAGTCATCTCCAATCGTCTCTTTGTACTCCCTTGGCACTGTGGAAATATGTTTTGACTACACCAAATAAAAAAAAAAAAAAAGTTTATGTATTTATTCCCTCTGTGAGAGAAAGACAATCATCCTCAACAGGGTCCTCATGTCATGATCCAGTCTCAGCCAGCTCAGATCACAGGCATGTGCACATGTCTGGTATGTTCAGGGAGAACCCAGGACACAAACCAGGACCTTTCCCGTATCAGTTCATGTGTGTGATTGCCGCTCTACCCACTGATGGCCCCCAGTTAGTAAAAACTTTGAACTCTAACCAATCTTTTAGTATAAAGATAATACATGGATTTTCCCCAGTCAGGAAAAAAATAAATAAATTTGCATAGATCTACACATCCTTTTGCAGAAATATAACCTTAAAAATCAAAATGTAATGGGTTATAAATAATTGACTATAGCCCAGCAGGTGCATGGAGGCTAAGGAGATGGATTCCCATGGCTGACTGCGCAGCTGGAGTCCTGAACCCAGAAGCTTGAAAAATCATGCCAAGTACAAATGTGTGAGTGCTCAAGTCCCAAGGAGGCTAGCAGAGTGCAGATTGTGGCATGAGCCAACCCCCAAAAGATTATTTCTCTTTCTCTCTCTGTCTTTCTCTCTGGTAAGCACAGTGCCCTAGAACAAAACCTTAAAAATAAAATTTGTTTTTGTTTTTGTTTTTGGAGAGATTTTTGCTATAGATTTGTGCTCACCAGAGAGACAGAGAGAGAGAGATGGAAGAGAGAGAGATGGACAGAGAAACTGAGAAATCAGCCTCCAAGGGAGATAGTCAGGCTGCAATCTCTTCTCCTTCATTCTCCTCTCAGGATTTTGGACATGCATGCACATGTGCCTGGCGTGAGGTTTGAGTCACCAGGTCTGGGACTCAAACTGTAGTCATCCAAGTGGGAGTCCAGTGTTTTAATAATCACTACATCACCTGCTGGCTCCCTAAAATAAATAAAATTTTAATTTATTATATTATATAGATAAGAAAATGCAAAGTGAATAACATTCTCTCTCTCTCTCTCTCTCTCTCTCTGGCTAAAGGTCATGTGCACTTGCCAAATAGAGGGGGATAGAAGAAAGCACCCTCCATAGGGATTGGTCACGCTGCAATGCCTTCTATTTCCTTTCTCCCTCCTTTTGAGATTTTGGGCATTCCCAGCACATTTCTCAAGCCACCAGGTCCAGGAATGTATTTGTCGGCCAGGTGAAATCCAAATGCCTTATCCACTATGCCATGGAGCCAGACTGTTTTCTTTTGCTGTGCAGCTTTCCATTAATATTTTGATAGATATTCCATTGCATCTGTAGATTGCTTAAGGTTATATAAGCATTTTAACAATAGCGAGTCTTTTAATCCATGAACAAGGATGTCTAAAAATCTTTATGCCTAGACAGAACACCGGTTGAGGAAGATAGCACCACAGAGGAATAGCTCGGCCTGACAACATGGTGGTCCAGCTAATCCTTCAGACATGGTTTCTTTGTTGTCTTATGTCCTTTGGATATGGTTATGGCATTTGTAGGCTTCGAGGTCAACAACTGAAGACAACTGGTGTTGGATAGAGGAGCCTTATTTTTTATTATGGCAGCTTGCTATTTTTATAACGTAGTAATTGAACACAATCATAGTACTGTTGTAACTGAACTCTTCTTCTTCCTGAAAGAGTGAGCAGATCATTCAATACTGATGTCAGCATCGTCAAACACATCCAGGTGAGCAGTGTTTGACTTCTGCTTCTGTTTGAAATGATTCCGTGTTTTAGTTGTGGTCCGAAGCTTCCTAGCACTACTCGGCATCTCCTTTGTTCCATGGAGCTCTCACCATTCAAAGATGACAAATAAGGTTAAATACTAGTTAGGTTGAGTCTTGCTAGCCTCTGCCTGGTCATCTTTGTGTGAATCCAATGGTTTGTTGGTGGGTTTTTGTTTTTGTTTTTGTTTTTGTTTTTGTTTTTTGGTTAAATATCTTTGTTTCTTTCTTTTTTCCCAATGATTTTTAGCTGATATTCATGAAGGGCAGTGAGTACCTAGAACTGTGCCGCTATTGAAAGGAATCTTACCTAGGAAAGTACATTTCTTTACAAAGCTGTGTCACACCATCTTTGGGTCCTCTGCTGGAAAAGTAGAATCAAATTCAGATAATGCCTTTTTAATTGTATCCTCTAGTAATATAGATAGATGTAGCACAACACGGTCTCATACCTCTGTGAACATAAAATATCTTGTACCTGCTTTATGATATGCAGTGGTGACTGTTTTACCAGAGCTGTTTTTATGATGATCTAGAATGTTTTCTTTCCAGATGATGAATCAGAAGCTAATTTTTTTAAAATGGTGCCAGGTACCACAACCGCAACAGAATCTTCCCCTTTCTGTTTTTTGGGGGGAGGGGGTTGTTTTGTTTTCTTTTTAATCTTTCTTCTTTTTTTTAATAGAATGTGCTGGATGTCTCTATAATTTTGTTCAGATGACTGCAGAACCTGGAAAAGCTGTTCTTGCATAACATACTGCTATTATTGACCTCTCTCTCTCTCTCTTTTTCATGTATCTCACATCTTTTTTCTCCCACACAGAAAATCCTGGTTCCCAGTGAATCAATGTATGTACACACCAATTCCACAGTAGACACATGACTGTCCCGGGATAAAAACAGAAACACTGCCATCAAAAATGTGATTATCAAAAACAATTTAATGTTCGTTTTCAGACCCTAGAGTACATATCCCTAGGGATGTACGGTCAAATCACTATGTTTTATATTCATTTGAAATAGTCTCTCTGTGGTATGCCACCAACTCAATAATCGAGTATTCTCATTTTAATATTTTGCTTTCAATTTTTAGAAGGTAATATTTTTGTTGTCTCATTCATCATTTTACAAGTGAACACTTTGTAAAAGTGTAAAACACAGAGCAGGACTTCCAGAATGGCAGGAGGAGTGAGAGCAAATCCTCTCCATGGAAATCAGTAATAAATCAGAAGGACCAGCGGATGGTACAATGGTACAAGGTTGACCGTGGGTCAAATCCCTGACCCTGTGGCTTAAAATTCATGCCAAATGTGTGTGTGTGCCCAAAATCCCAAAAGGAGAATGGAGGAGAAGGGATTGTGGTGTGACCATCCCCCTGGGGGGTGATTTCTTGATTTCTGTCTCTGTCTATCCAGTGAGTGCATGCACCCGATAGCAAAAGTCTCTCAAAAAATAAATAAATAGAGAACCAGCAGTTAGCATAATGGCTATGTCGCTGGACTCCCACGTAGTCGACCGCGGTTCACGTCCCAGACCCGGTGGCTTAAAACTCACGCCAGGCACGTGTGCATGCGTGCCCAAGATCCCGAGAGGAGAATGGAGGAGAAGGGATTGCGGCATGACCATCCCCCCTGGGGGGTGATTTCTCGCTTTCTGTCTCTATGTCTCTGTCTGTCTGGCGAGCGCACGCGCCCTACAGTGAAAATCTCTCCAAAATAAATAAATAAATAAATAAATAAATAAATAAATAAATAGAAGAAGATGATGAATATTTTAAAAAAAGTGTTTAAAATAAACTGTGTCAGAATTCTTACAGTGACCAAAGGCATACAACAAATAGAGAAATGTTTATTCAAAAAAAAATCTACCTGAACCTCAGTAAAAAGCAATGGAGGGTTGTGGTAATTTAGCATGGGACGAAGCAAGCTGAGGAACAGTCTTGCTGTTATCAAAAGGGTAGCTCTTCTGTGGAACTCTATAAAAGACTTCAAGCACTAGGGCCCACAGGTGATATGCTGGTTAAGACACTGGACTTTCATATACAAAATGAAATTCAAGTTCTGGACCCAGTGGCTTGAAATTCACACTGTGGCCAAGTGTGGGTGCCTAAAATCCTGAGAGGACAATAGAGGAGATGGGATTGTGGTGTGGCCATCCTCCCGGTTGGGGGTGGGGGTGATTTCTCACTTTCCCTCTCTATTTCTCTCTCTGGTGATCACAAAGGAGCAAAAATCAAAAAAATAAAAAATAAAAGAGTCCATGCACGGAGAGGTTGTAGAAAACAATAGCAATTAGCAACTGTGATCCTTGCATCCCAAGGAGCTTAAAAGTGGAAAATGGAAGGAAGACCCACGTCATTGCAATGTGGACTAGGAAGTGATGTAAGCAGGTAGAAGGTCCAGTTGTGCTCTGGGGTTTGAGGACGAAAATACTGACACCCACTTATGAGTCAAGGAACACCTCTGGAGGAAGTGACATCAGAAATAGGCTTTGAAGTTCGAATACTATTGAAAAGTAGAAAGACTTCAAGAAAACCATTCCATACAAGTTTATAGAGGTTATATTGCTTTATTAACCAATAATTACTAGGCAGAAGGACAAACCATTTTAACGGACAGTAGAAAGGATGGCATCACTATGGTGCTCTAGACTTCTGAGCTGTTGAGTTCTCTACAACGACGGAGGTGTGGCGAGGAGTCTCATGTGATAGTCTGATAAGAGCTGTGAAGAGCAGGAAAGGGAGAAATTCTGGGTTAGTTGCAAGTAGTGATTGAGGATAAAAAGAGCTACAATTCCCAACCTTCCTGGCATCAGGGACTGCCCTCATGGAAGACAATCCCTCCACAGCCATGGGTTGGGAGGAAGGATGGTCCAGGGATGACCCAAGCACACCACATCCACCATGCACCCAATTTCCACCACTGCCACATTGCAATATACAATGAAACAATCACACAACAGGGTTCACACCCCCATGAGAATCCAGCACCGCTGCTGCTCTGGCAGGAGGCAGGGTCATGTCAGCAGTGTGAGAGGTGGGGAGCAGCTGCAAACGTGAACAAAGCCTTGCTCACTTGCTCACTTACTCACTTGTTCCCTTGCCCACCACCCACCTCCTGCTGCATAACCAGGGTGAGACAGGTGCCCAACAGGCAACAGACCAGCACCAGTTCATGGCCCAGGGGTTGGGGACCCTGAAGTAGAGTGATCAAGGGAGGAAAGTTCAGAGAGATAGAAATGGAGTATGGAAGAGGAAATTGGAAAGAGAGGGGTCAGCAGGTGGCAAGGTGGTTAAGGTGCTGGACTCCCACATAAGCAACTACAATGCAAATCCTGGACCTGGCAGCTAGCTTTCTCTCTCTCGCTCTCTCTCTCTCTCTCTCTCTCTCTCTCTCTCGTGCACATGCCCTATAGCAAATTTTAAAATAATCATGATGATAAATAAATAATTCTTAAAGAAAAAGAAAGAAATTGGGAAGAGAAAAAGAAACACACAGAACTCACCAGCGCCTCTTCAACCACAACACAAGAGCTGTCAGAAGAATCGCAGGCACTATAACTGCCAAGAAGATCAAGGTCATGGAAAGGCGGCGTCCTGTGTACATTGGAGAGGTGCATGAATGTCATTGTAAACCCACTGGTGATTCTACTTCATCCCCTAATTTCCTAACGTAACATGTGCATTGAGTATGACTCAGGTCATTTATCCCATTTTAGTCACTCTATTCCTATTTCTACCCAAGGAAAGATTCCTCATCTCCATCCAAACATTTTATGTTTGCCCCTTATACCTCACTGCTCCATTCCTTAAAATATCTGTATTTATTTCTTCCTGAGAGCTTTCACCTAGATCTGGCATCATTGAACTCTCCTCTGGCCTACCCTCTAGGCTGGAGGACCATCTTATAACACTTCCAACCTCCAATCTTACCCCAGTAGAGGATGATGTCCTGGTCTCCCAGGCTGCTGTGTCTCACCCGGCAAGACAGACCAGCAGCCTCCTCAGTTGCCACATCCAGAGTCACCCGAAGATACCACGTCCCATCAGCATTAGGCAGGGTGTCATCTTGTCTAGTGCCCAGTTGCTCCTCCTTACCCCTCATCCACATCACCCAAATAGACTTTGGGTAGAAGCCAGAGACATGACAAACCAGCAATAGCTGGCCAGATGAAGGGCTGGGACTACTGGACAGCCACGCCTCTGGTCTCACTGCAGAGAGTACAAAAGGTATTCATATGAGGTTGCTCACATGCATCTTAAGGGTGTGTATATTAGCATTAATGTGCACAATTATCTTTTCTTTTCCTCAAGGAAATCCTCACCCAGCAACCCCTCTCCCTCTCGTCTTCTTTGTCCTGAGTTTGAATAGGTGGTAGGAAATGGCAATTTTTGTACAGAAAAAATTCTAGAAAGGGCTGAACTGACCTTGCCTCTGGAGATATGTCTTCCCTGCGTCGAGCAGACCCAAAAAAAACCGGGGGCAGGTGCTGCTACCGAGCCTCTGCACGGTTTCTTTGATGCCATCGTAAGGATTGAGTAGATCACAGGCTTTCTGGGCTCTACTGCCACCCTCTGGAGAGGGCACCCAGGAAGTGTTCTGGAAACTCAGTAAATCCAATCCTTCAAAAGCTACCCTAAAGTAGTATTCAGAACTCTCTCTATGATGCATCACACAACCAGTATTCACCTGTATTTCAAAGGGATCTGGGGTAAGGGAAGAATGAGAAAGAAAGAAGAATGAGAAACAATGAAATAGGAGCCTAGGGCTTTATCAGGGAGTGGGTCAAGATGACTTTATTGGGTTGTCAGAAAAGTCATGATATATTTTTGCATAGAAAAAAATCATGACTTTCTGACAACTCAGCTGTGAGTGTGAGAATAAGTTGAAGTGATTTCATCAGGAACAAGGGAGAGAAAATATGCTGAGGATAGAGGATGGCAGGCAATACGAGATAAATTCCATGAATTCAGAGGATATCAGTGTAAAAAAGTCTTGAGAGAATGATAGGCAAGCCACATCATATAGGCTAGAGTGTGGAGAAGGAACTTAAGTGAGGGAGGTAAAAACACAGTGCTCCACGATGCATGAAATAAGTCATAGTGATTGTCAGATTATTTATATAGATCTTTGAAGAAAACGAATGGAGAAAGAGATACTATTTTAAGGAAATCAAGCATAGAGTGGGAGAATGCATGCCTCTGGATTTTAGGCCACAGAGGAAATGCAGCAAAGCACAAGGAAAAAAGATTCCAGAATTAGTAAGGATCTAAGAGATCTTGAGGAGTCAACATCTTGAATATCTCCTAACATGTTTATGCATGGAGACTTCTGAGGTGGAATAAAATTTTCAGAAAGAAGTAGAGGATATTGCTCAAAAATAGAAGAATCTTTCAAAGAAATTTTCTTGATTGAGTTCATTGAACTTACATTCCATCTGCAATTTACTGGCATGTTCTTGAACTTCTCGAATTAATCCAATGAGGTAGAAACGAAATAGCACTTCCAAATCTGTCATCTCTTCGTTGCTGAAGTTGCCCTTAGACCAGGTGTGTAGGAAAATTATTTTGCCCGATTCACTCTCCCAGCCATGAGTCTGAATTTCATCCAGCCAACCTGAGCCCTGATTTTGTGCCCAGGACCGGTTGAAAAAGGATGAGATCTGGATGAGGTGGAACGAGACGTCTTCCTGGACTGCTTTGAGTGGGAGAAAGATCAGGTAGTACAAGGAAAAGGAGGGACAAGCTCCACAGAAAAAGATATCAAGTGAACCATTATCAGAGCAAAGTGTAATGACTAGTTTAGCGAGAAGGTTTTCCTTTCACAGCACGCCATGTTCTCTCATCATCTCCATAAAGAGAAAACTGGGCATGGACACAGAGATGCTCAGATGGTAAGCATTCTGGTATCCTTTGTGATCCATCTTGGAAAAACCCACCATACTCTACTCAGATCCACCCAACCGGGCTGCCGGCAGATGTTCTTACCATATACATTATCACTGCCCGGGAGAACGACAGCTAGCAATGGAAGTTGCAGAAACAGCATCTCATTTGCAGATGTTTCCTTCTCTCGGCAAGACTGGTCTTTGATATGTTTTCAGCACACCGACTGACTCATATCTCTAGTCTGACTTCCTCCAACAACAGGCAATCTTCGCCACCATTAACCAGACACTGAGAGCAACTAAGAAAACCTCCTGTTTTCTCAACATCAGGCCACCTACTCAATCTCTCATTTCCCTTCCCTTCTGACTAAAGTTATTTTATCCTCTGGCACTTCTAGCTCTTCTCCTATCACAGAACCCCATTCTATCCACTTCCCTTTCTCAACTGCCTTGGGCAAAGTGGCGTGTGACATTGAAAGGTCATTTCACCTGTCTGGGTCTTACATCTCCTCTGGGAAATAAAAAAAGAGAATCTACACTTAGTCAGAAAAACACTTGCACATCCATGAATATTGAGGGATTTTTCACAATTGCTAAGACATGGAACCAACCCAAATGTCCACAGATAGATGAATGGACCAAAAGTGCGGCACAAATACACTACAGAATACTACTCAGACATAAAAATAAAAAAAAAATTTTTTTAAATTAAAAAAAAACAGAGTGAGAAGGAGAGAATCAAAGGGGAAAAGAAAGAAGCAAAATTTTCTTTTCTTTTTTTTTTTTTGGAGAAGTTTTTGCTATAGGGCGCGTGCGTTCGCCAGGCAGACAGAGAGAGACATAGAGATAGAAAGTGAGAAATCACCCCCAGGGGGATGGCCACGCCGCAATCCCTTCTCCTCCATTCTCCTCTCAGGATCTTGAGCACGCACGCACCCGCTCCCGGCGTGAATTTTAAGCCACCAGGTCCGGGACGCAAACTGCGGTCAACTACGTGGGAGTCCAGCAACATAGCCATTATGCTAACTGCTGGTTCCCAGAAGCAAAATATTTAAGGAACACAAAAATGGAAAATTATTTGTTGATAATAATGTGTGTAGTAACATCTTTGACTAAACAAGTATACAGTGTATTCATGGTGGGAAAATTCATTTGTTATGCAGTAATGATACACAATGTTGAAAGAAAGAAGAGAAAGCTGAAACAAAGAAAATAAAAAAGAACAAAGAAAGAGAGAGAAAGAGAAAAGAAAGAGAAAGAATAAAAATAAAGGAAAGATGGAAGGAAGGAGAGGGATGGGGAGGAAGGAAGGAAGAATGGGAGGAAGGAAAGAAAAGAAAGAAAAAGAGGGAGGAAAAAGAGAAAAGAAAGAAAAAGAGAAAGAAATGAAGGAAGAAAGAAAGGAAAAGGCAGGAGAAAGAGAGAAAGAAAAAGAGGAGAAGCTACATGGTTTCCTCAGTCCTTGCTTGTTTTGACATACCCCAATTCTTACAGTTTCTCCTCTTAACTAGAACTCTGGATTCTCATATTCCATCTTCTTATTACTCAATCCTTCTCTCCCCCTTTTTATTGTCTTCAAAGTTCTTTTCATTCCTGTTTCACCTATGTTTCTTCCCTTTCTCATTTCACAATTCTCAATGGTTCTTTTATAAATTGGAGAATTTGCTTTCTCATATTGCCTGGAATACTTTATGCATCTTAAAACTATGGCCCCCTCTTCATTACCCTTAGAGATAAAATTGCAGCCATTCAGAGTGTGTAGGACTATAAAAAACTATAAATATGCCTGTCTGAAGAATTTAATTTATATCAACTCACCCAAAAAATTATTCAATTCATGGTTGGTACCATGTCTTACAAGGTAGGTGAACTACAGAGATTGACACTGTAATTCTGCCTATCAAGAAACTTTACTACAGGGACCAGCAGTTAGTGTAATGGCTATGTCACTGGACTCCCATGAAGTCGACCGGGGTTCGCATTCCGGACCCGGTGGCTTAAAACTCACGTCGGGCGCGTGTGTATGCGTGCCCAAGATCCCGAGAGGAGAATGGAGGAGAAGGGATTGCGGCATGGCCATCCCCCCTGGGGGGTGATTTCTTGCTTTCTGTCTCTCTGTCTCTCTCTGACTATCTGGCGAACGCACACGCCCTATAGTGAAAACCTCTCAAAAAAAAAAAAAAGAAACTCTACTACAGATTATTACTCAATCCTTCTCTCCCCCTTTTTATTGTCTTCAAAGTTCTTTTCATTCCTGTTTCACCTATGTTTCTTCCCTTTCTCATTTCACAATTCTCAATGGTTCTTTTATAAATTGGAGAATTTGCTTTCTCATATTGCCTGGAATACTTTATGCATCTTAAAACTATGGCCCCCTCTTCATTACCCTTAGAGATAAAATTGCAGCCATTCAGAGTGTGTAGGACTATAAAAAACTATAAATATGCCTGTCTGAAGAATTTAATTTATATCAACTCACCCAAAAAATTATTCAATTCATGGTTGGTACCATGTCTTACAAGGTAGGTGAACTACAGAGATTGACACTGTAATTCTGCCTATCAAGAAACTTTACTACAGGGACCAGCAGTTAGTGTAATGGCTATGTCACTGGACTCCCATGAAGTCGACCGGGGTTCGCATTCCGGACCCGGTGGCTTAAAACTCACGTCGGGCGCGTGTGTATGCGTGCCCAAGATCCCGAGAGGAGAATGGAGGAGAAGGGATTGCGGCATGGCCATCCCCCCTGGGGGGTGATTTCTTGCTTTCTGTCTCTCTGTCTCTCTCTGACTATCTGGCGAACGCACACGCCCTAAGTGAAAACCCTCTAAAAAAAAAAAAAAAAGAAACTCTACTACAGAAGTCCATTTAAACCAAGAACATAAAGGCATTGTGGTGATTGCTATTTCAGTGTATAGAATTCCAGATATAAGTTGTTTACACAATATTCTCTAGAGAAGCTTTTTGTCTGATGACCCCTGGGTGTCCATACTTCAAAGTCCTTGCTGGGTGTGGTGGCACTCACCCTATGGCAAAGACTACTGAAGCTGGAGGGTAATGGCACCAAGTCCATAATTTAAAGTCCTGGAAGAACTGATGCATTTGAACTGAGGGACAACGTCCGTGCAGCGTACAAGCCTGTAAGATCATGGAATGTGATCAGGACGTGATTTTTTTTTTTGTTTTGTTGTTGTTGTTGTTTATTACATTTTTTCTTTCTTTATTTACATTCATTCACTGTACATCATTATAGCATACAAAATGAGATTTTTCCATTGAGAATACACTGTATATTGACTCAATCAAGCACATCAACATATGTGTTATTGTCAACAAATCATTTTCCATTTCTTGTTTTCTGTATATTTTGCCTTTTTTCCCCATCCTTGATTCCCTATCTCGGCTATATAGCTTAACTGCAGTCATCAAATAGGTATTTCTAATGCCTTTTTTTTTTTTCTTCTGAAAATTTTTTTTTTTTATTAATTTACATTCATTCCCTGAGCATCATCACAACATTCTAAATGTGGTTTCCCATCTAGAATATACTATATAGTGGCTTAATAATGCATGTTATCATCCATAATATTCCATTTCTACTTTCATATATATGTTTTTTTACCCCATGTCTAGCCCTCTGCCCTATTCCACTCTCTTATTACACTATCTCTGCTGTCTACAGTTGTCTTCAATCCCTTTTCCCCCAACATTTCGTTGGTCACACAATATCATAAGTAATCTAACTACTTTCAATAGCAAGATCAGCCGATGGTTTCAAGAAAAGCAGTTTTGAACTGGTAAGGATATTTCTTTGAAACTTAAAGCCTAGAAACAGGTTAGTATTCTGTTCAAATAGTCGGAACATGAATCTATTGATAGCTGAAGACAGGACAAAAGTCCTTAAAACCAGACAACAAAGCTTAGAAGAAAAGCAGCAATATTTTAGTCAAGTCGTAGAATACTGTTTCATCAGTTCAGTCTCATGTACTTAATCTTTCTTCTGTATCTGTTGAGGTTCGATGTTCCAGATTGAAATCTGGGATGTAATACTCAACTCCAGCTTTTGGCCCTACAATTAAGTTGCCCATTTTCTTAGTTTCTGAACTCTTATTTCTGTGTGTCTGCATTTAATTTTACTGACATAGCACTCCCTTAAGAACTTCTTGGAGATCCGGTCTGGTGCTGGTAAATTCTTTCAGGTTTTGTTTATCTGGGAAAGTTCGTGTCTTTTCTTCCCAAATGAACGATAACCTTGCTGGGTACAGAATTCTCGGTTGAAATTGCTTTTCCCTTAATACTTTGAATACATTTTCCCATTCTCTCCTCGCTCTCATTGTTTCCGATGAGAGGTCTGCCGTTAGTCTGATGGGATACCCTTTGTAGGTAACTTGCCTTTTTTCTCTTGCCAGTCTTAGTATCTTGTCTTTGTCTGTGGTTTTGGTCAATCTGGCTATAATGTGTCTTGGAGAAGATCTTCTTGGGTTGATTCTATTTGGGGTCCTCTGTATTTCTTGGGACTGAATCTTTGAGTGCCTCTCCAGGTTTGGAAAATTTTCTTGTAAGATTTCATGGAATAGATTATCAATGCCCTTATGAGTCTCTTCACCTTCTGGGATGCCTATTATCCGGATGTTTGGACGTTTGATGGTATCTAGTACTTCTCGCATATTATTCTCAAATTTTTGGGCCATTTTCTCAGTCTTCGCGGTGGATTTTTCTAGGCCAACCATTTTCTCTTCTACATTAGAGATTCTATTTTCTGTATGATCTAGTCTGCTTTTAATACTTTCAAGGGAGATTTTGACTTCTTGTATTATAGCCTTCATCTCTAACAGTTCCATCTGATTCTTTTGTAAAGTGTGAAATTCCTCTTTTAGATCTAGCATGAATTTCCTCACCTCCTGGAACTCTTCAACTCCTTTCTCCTTCCTCTTCAGCAGTTCCTTGTCTCTCTTCTCTTCCATCTCTGTTAGCTTTGCCATTACAAATGTTCTGAATTCTTTATCAGACATTTCCATGATTTCCATTGAACTGTGTGTGGATAAAGAGGAGCTATCCTTTTCCCTTGTGGGAGAGGTATTTTCCTGCCTCCCCATATTTCTTGTGGTCCTGCAGTGATTTCTAGTCATCTGGTGGATGGTTAGTTTCTTCCCAAACTTGGAAGTTCAATCACGCGAGTTTTGTATGCTGGAGACCCAGTTATCAGTGGGACATCTTCCTTTCTCCCCAAATGGCTAGATC